AAAATCGAAGCATTTTTTCTGCCCCAAAACGTGATGAGACACAAAAAAAAAAAAAAACACATCATGGTAAAATCAATACATTCATCGCTCCGCTCAGAATCTAAAATAACTATGATTATGTCAGAGCCTTAAAAGTATTATTCTCACGCGTGGGCGTGAGAAAGGGAACAAATATTGAGTTGACAAACTTTTAAAGATATATACCTAATCTTTTCGGTTATAAAATAATATCTATGTATATGAAAACAAAAATATCGGTGGATCAATGAATTTAATTAAAACAAGAAAAACTAGTTAGTAAATTAATTAGAAAACAAATAGATACATTGAGTTTACAACAATTATACTCAGGTACAATAACTTATGATATTTAAACAAACAAACATATTACAATTTATTTTAATAAAATACATAAAAAATTGTAAATTGCAAAGAGCATTGTTATTTGTCAGTAACACAAAGTAACTAGCGTTAAAGTTTTAGATTATAACTAAATACGTAATTAATAATTGTTATAAATAATAATAGACAAACATTTCATTAATTTAAATATAGGCACTACGCATATTTAGTTATAATATTTAATTATATTGAAAAACATTTCAATACTTGGTCAAATTAACTTTGAAATTATTTYAATTTTTTGAGAAATAATAATACACAATAATACTTGTAATTTACCAGTAGATTTTAGAAATACATAACTATAGTCTATATTTATCAATAGATAAATTTTGGACAATTATTATTAATAATATCGCTAGTCGCATTGGCTAGTTGTTGTAATTTGTTTCTGTTATCTGTGAGTTGTATTTATTAATTGTATACTAATCTAGTTTTTATTTATTTATTCATAATTTTATATGAAAATTAATTTGATGTTAACTCAGCACCATTTCAGACAGAGTACCTAGCACCTACACTTTTATATATCCGTGGCAGACAAAATTTCGGCACGTTTCCTGGTTAGCCACGACAGGCAGCGTTAAAACAAATCAAAATAAGAGGCACTCTCGTTTATTTCTATAGTGAAAATTATATTGATGTTGAAGATAATATTATTAACATTGTTAAAAATAAAAGTGATTTATTTGATAAAAACTATAAAAACATTATGAACATTGTTTTTAAATGTATATACAATTGTATGTACACGCTACTATATATTGTTCTGTTCATATTATAATGATTATTAATTATCCATAACAAACTTCYATATTTAAGAATTACCTTACTTATAATTTAATATAATACACGAAAATTTAACATGYGAGTAGGAAATAAAGTAAAATGTTTTAATTTCATAATCACATACAGAAGTTTAATGTAACCATATTTATTAAAGSTCTAAAAAAAGTAATTTTAAAATCACGAATAGAAATTAGAAGTGTTATATTTCGGTAAAACACGATTGAGCAAAGAATATTTTATGTAAAGTAACCTTATTCACATTTCCGAAATTGTATATTTCATTATTTTCACGTATTATTATGATACCAAACTTAAACGATCCGCAAGTMACGAGCTCAGCCCAGCCATATCAACAATTTTATCGATTAATAAATTAGTTTTGGTGAAATAAATATTAATTTTATCCATAATATACTAACTGTAATAGATACGTTTTAAACATTTAACATTGGCAGAAATTATAAGATAATTAAAATAAGATATAGATGATAATAATAATAATAATCACTTATAGTCGTGCCACAGTGCGTAAAAAAAAATTTCTTAAGGAAAAGTTTTTTTTATTTTATAATATGGATATAAATAATATGCCAATAATTTTATAGGATACTTTTAACTCGTATCATATTTTGAATTATTTAAATAATATGTTTTGTATATATGCTAGTTCAAAGTTGAAAATGGCAATATTCAATATTGCAGTTTTTATGCTTAATCTGGTGGGTTTTCTGTTATATTGTTCTTAATCTTTTGAACTGAACTGAACGAAAATCCATCGGCCTATATGACTTAGAGTACTTTAAGATTTATTGCTTTTACCCATTAATTAATTTATTTGGTACTTTYCTGTTATACGAGACAAGTGACTACGTCTATTATCGTGACTACCACCCAAGACTCCCTCCGTTATCCTAACTGTCTTGGTTGTTTTGTGAAATATCAAAATCCTATTGTCTAAGACTATCAAAATTTGTCCACTTTCCTATCATCACAGATTACCTTGTTTTTATTTTTTCTAAAAAATCATATTTAATTCTTTAATATTTTTTTAATACGTAGGTATTGTGGATATGGCCACATTCAAATTTTATTAAGAGGACGCTACACCCGCGTGTGTTGTCTCCGTCTTACAAGTACGTAACATTGCAAAAACTGTTTCGCGCGAGAAAGAACCGAGAAGGCTACAATCATAACTAAAAAACGAAATTCTCACCACAGATAAAAGGGAATTTCGACTGTACAACGTTGTTTTTATTTTTTTGATATTAGAACTGAAAAAAAAGTTATTCGATTTTGAAAAACGCAAAAATAATGAATTTTGAAACAATAAGAACTTTTTTTCTATTTGTGATATCGAAAAATTGAAAACAACGTTGCACAGTAAATGTTCTCCTTATTATGTGGTGAAAATTTCGTTTCTTAGTTATAACTGTAGCATTCTCGGTTCTTTCCCGCGCGAAACAGTTTTTGCAATGTTACGCACTTGTAAGACGGAGACTTCACATGCGGGTGTAGCGTCCTCTTAAAAAAATGAAATAAAGAATAGATTTCAATACACATAAATACAATTTCTTATATCTTATATATGTTTTATAAGCTGTATACCATATACGCCACGCTTGGCATAGAGCCAATGAAAATCATAAAATAATAATACAACAAATAATATTATCGTTATTGTCATCCATAGGCACCCGCAGGGGGCAAGCTGGGGCATTTGCCCCCCTGGCTTTTTCAAAATATTTTTTTTAATTGAATGTTTTAAGATAAATTACTATATACTAAACAACAAATTTAAAGTATAAAATAAGTTGTAGGTAATATAATAAAATATAATATATTGTATACGAGTATAATATAAAAGGTTGTTATTTTAAAACACCTTGTAAAATTATAATATTTATCCTCAAATCCTAACATTGCCCCCCCCCCTAGAAAAATTTCTGCGGGCGCCTATGTTGTCATCGAACAAGAACAAAAATAATTAACATCGGTAAAATAATTATTATCACTACAGCATCAATCATTCAGCTATTGTGGTAGTCTTGGGTGATAGTCGCTATAATTAATTGTTGTAATCTCGTGATAGTCGCTATAATTAATARTTGTAATCGTATAATAGGAAAGTAAAATTTATTTTATTATTTTTTTTTTTAATAAGATGTTCTTAGCCTTGGCTATCTACATTCTACATCTATAGATAGACACATATTATTGAGTATTGACTATTTTAACACGATAAAAATTATATTAATGGTGTTTATGCTATATAAGATATTAAAACAATTAGATATTTATCTATACTATCACACAGTAACGATACAGTATTAATTTTTGCATTTAAAAATTTCCTTGTGTGTATAAAATGTAACAATATATTTAAAGTTTTAAGTAAGTACTCACGAGTAACATTTTTTAATAGAACAAAATAACTAAAATTGTTATTCTTCGTTAAAATATTCAATTTCATCAAAATGTCACACTAAAATTAGAGATGTTACGAACTGTTAGATTTTCGAACTGCACCAAAATCTGGGAGTTTTTAGTCCAAAATTACATTTTAGTCCAAAATTACATTTTAGTCTAAAAAGTGTATAAAAAGCCGTGCTTATATATTTTAGTATTTTACTTACAGAATGAACTACTTTTGAGAAATTTTGTATTACCATTCGAACTTCCAAACCCAGTGTATTTTATTATTGATATTTTAAAAAAAAACCAAAATTTTTAAATGTCTACAAAAAGCTCGAACAAATTTAAAATATTTTGAACATTTTATTCAGTATAGAATATGTTAAAATATGAATTAGAAGAAAATTTCAATACCACTTCTCATGAATTTTGGTTAAATTTTTTATACTGAAACATTCGTATTTCAACTGGTTCAAGACCAATGGGGCAATTAGAATCTGTCGGCCAGACTTGAAATTATACTAATTATAGGCTCATGAACATCGCAATTTTTATTCTTTTGAAATTGTCAGTATGGTATGTACTCACGTAGATAATCTCTTCTTTGGTCTTCCTACCAAGAAATTCTAATTGTACCATCAATCATTGAATTACGTAAATTCCAAAAAAGGTCAACAATCATCAGACCTGGTAAACCAAAATTTAAGTCATTTTCAATAATCAAAATTACTATACTAGAAAAAATATTTATGTATAATATAATATCAGCATAAAGCTTCATGAATTAATGATACACATACCTAATTCCTATTAATATGTTTTATCCGTATCGTCTGTCGGCTGCATCTACTATTCAGAACCACGATTAAACATAAAATAATTGCGGAACAAATAATGATAAACTGAGGCAAAAATATTAAAATATTTTCTTCCAGCAGCAAACGGCAAGCACAGCAGTTGTCTTTGTCAGTCGTTCTGAAACCGAACTACCTTCCTTATCTTAATCATATAACGTGTTCCGATTCATAACAGCTTACTTACGAACCGGGCGATTGCAGCGCAACGCAACGGTATTATCCTCAGTTAGAACATCACCGTCGCTGTCGCGCGAAATGCTCTCTGGTGAACGGTTTCTGTACTATCTAGCATTTATAACCAATAAATAAACTGTGTAGTTCTATGGTTATTGGTTACATACCACGTCGGTATTATTTTCCGTTATTTTTCTAACCTAACTATTAAATGATAACTATGGACGCTTGTATACATTTTGTATCGTGCGAGACGTTATCATTTGCCTGTTGCCGCTCAAAAGAACAAGTCGTCTAGATCAAAGCATTCAAAACCGTAATTCATAATAAGCCGAATCGACGATCTACCAAACTACGACTTCATAGTGTACCGTACTAATCAGTTAATCGCGTCATCGCAATAGACAACGGTTTCTTATTGTTACGATAGTTTTAATTGTAAAATCATTGAAAATGTCCAAAGTTTGCGTTTTGTGTTTGAAACCAGTGCTCAAATATTCCATTCCCAAAATGTCATTACACGTGTAAGTAAATAATTACAATATTGTACGGGGACAAAAACATTCCAGTATAATGATTTATGTTTTATTTTGTTAGATTTCCATCGTGTCCGAAAAAACGGCAGATTTGGCTCAACCAGTGTAGATTATCCCATAAAGACATTTTACCAAACCGCAAGATATGTTCTTTACACTTTAAGCCAACATGTTTCAAGTCTGGTTTAAAGAGGCGTGTACTTTATCCTGATGCGATACCAACAATTTTTGGAAATGGCATTGTTAAAACAACAAAGCTGCCATTAAAAAATGTGAAAGGTAGTAAACATTTTTCTTACAATTATTATTATTATAAGATATGGTTTGACAATTACCTATACTAACAATGAATTTTTCACCTTTGTGGTTATAGATGCTTTAGTGTTTATACACTGACAGCGATTTAAAATATTATTATATTATATTACAATAATATATGATTACTTTTTAATCATAAGTGACCTAAGCAGTGGTCATATTTTTTGCATATTCAGCATTTATGTATACTTCATGTAGTCCATGTATCATGTTAAGAGGACACTACACCCGCATGTGTTGTCTCCGTCTTACAAGTAYGTAACATTGCAAAAACTGTTTCGCGCGGGAAAGAACCGAGAAGGCTACATTCATAACTAAAAAACGAAATTCTCACCACAGATAAAAGGGAATTTCGACTGTGCAACGTTGTTTTTATTTTTTTGATATTAGAACTGAAAAAAAAAGTTATTCGATTTTGAAAAATGCAAAAATAATGCATTTTGAAACAATAAGAACTTTTTTTCTATTTGTGATATCGAAAAATTGAAAACAACGTTGCACAGTAAATGTTCTCCTTATTATGTGGTGAAAATTTCGTTTCTTATAGCTGTAGCCTTCTCGGTTCTTTCCCGCGCGAAACAGTTTTTGCAATGTTACGCACTTGTAAGACGGAGACAATACATGCGGGTGTAGCGTCCTCTTAAGAATGGGAGGGACTATCCATARGTCATTAGTGAGTGGACAATTTCTAATGTACATCATTTTGATCTATACCTACAGGAATATAAAATATGTTCATATTAGGTAATTACATATAAGTACTAGTAATTTATAGAGTATTGATTAGAATTTAGTATAAATTTGAATATTTATTCTAATCGACTGATCGACTGAAGCTAAGTGACCACAAAGTTTTTTTTTTATGATAGGTATAACAATTTAAACTATCAAACTTTTGTTGCATGTTTTGTATATTTTGATAATTTTCCATTATTTATTAATAATAATTTATTAATAATAAGTTATACAATTTTAATTGCATATCTTATCTTTTAGTGCATGTTTCAGTGTTTTTTGGTCTTTAGACATTTTGAAGTAATTAAGTGTTATTATTGTGATCAGTGCTCGAATTGGAGGGGGGGAGCGCATGGTAACTCAGCTCCTATACTACCTTTTGATTTTAAATAGCGTTTCCATACTACATTTTCCTAAAAGAATGTATCGGTACGCCAGTACGTGGTATTAAATGCCAATGAATATTTTTATTTTGTATTTATTCAATCTTATAAAATATTAAATAGGCACTGTAAAAAATAAAATAAACTTGTAAGTGTTGGAGAATTTTATTTTATTCAATATATTATTATTATTTTTAAATATTAATATTTAGAGAAATTAAATATATAAACTAATGAAAATATAGTGATATTGTGGTTGTAATTAAGGAAGTGTGGGGGGCAAAGCCCTCCATGGGTTATTTCTTAATAAATGTTCAGTTGGAACGCTGTTTTTTGAATTTATACTTGAGTTCCCTTTCTTTCAATTTCCCAATTCGAGCACTGATTGTGATCAGTGCTGCTATGATTGGGTGTGCAATGCATATGGCATAGGTATATCTCTAGCTCTGGTGGTCTTCAAAAACCAAAAGCTAAAATTAAAAATTATCTGTTTCAAATGTTAATAAAATTCATAATATTTGGTTTCATATCTAAGATTTAAAAATGTAGTACAAGATTCCAMAAATGTTCTTCCTTTATCAACAATAAAATATGTTTACCAAAATATCAAATTAATTTTTATGAGTGTCAGATAAGTTTTGACATTTTTTGACGTTAGATATTTATTTTTTTTATTTAAAGCTACCAATATAAAATTATTACAGCTTAACAGTTAACGTCAGTTTCTTCTATGTATGTAAAGTATGGTATGATTTTTTTTCTATTTCAATATAATACATCTGCYTACAAGTTAAAAATAATTAGTGATAAGGATTACAAGATGAGTATGTACAAAAACATGAACCACTCGAAGATGAGACCATACATTAACAGAAACTCTAATTACTTTTTTTTAAATCATGTTTTTTCCTATTTTAGAAGGTCTCTAAATTAGTTTTTTTTAGTCGACAAACATTTGTAATAATGTTACTACATGTCTACATCTTACTGATGGCATATTTTTAATAAAGAGGTTTATGTGTTTAGTTCATTTAGAGTGGAAACTATTGTAGTAACTTATAGCATGCTCGTATATTGTTTGCTTTTATACGTTATTATGACGGGCTGCATTTGTTATGTACCATGAAACAGTGGYGTAAACTGGGGGTCGCACGAGGTCGCATTTGTGACCTCTGAAAATATTATAGAGTTGCAAGACTGTCTTTTTGTGACTTCAAAAATCACGATTTTAGTTTTCAAAAAATTAAAATATCAATAATTATTTAATTAATTRACTAATTTATATTTTGAGAACAAATTTTTTGATTTTGTTTTAAACCACTGAAATTATTATTATATTTTATACTTTCAACATTTTCTTATAGTTTTGTTTTTGACCATTTTCTATTAATATACCTACCAATATGTATTTATTGTGATCGGCAGAGTCAAGTCTCAATGGTAGCTGAATATTAATAGTGAAAACGTGTTTCACTATTGTATGTTTATAAATTAAAATTATTATTTGTCTTTTTCCATATTCATTTATTTTTTGACACTTGTATTTATTTCTTATCCCGCGAGCAATGCAAAATTAAAAGTGTTTCTTAAGCTTGCTAAAATACACAAATTTCTTGTAAAAATATCAAAATCGAAAGTAAGCATCTATTTTTACTTTAAATTCATATACCTATAACTTTTGATTTGTATGCATTAAGTTTAATGTAGCCGTTAAGATATATTACTGATTTATATTATATTAAAACTACAATTTTGACAAATAAAACAATTTATATTTGATCTGTAAATTAATTTACTAGGTAATAGAATATTATTATTGAGCAAGTTTGATACAATTATTTATTACAGTCTAGATTAAAAGAACTGTTGTATTTTATGTATTCATATATTGTTTAAGAACATTATACATATTATATTGACGGTAATTAATAATATACCCTATTTATGTTGTATATTCATTAAACATACCTGCAGTTACCAATAGATACTACATATGTTTAAGGTTAAAATAATTTTATTGAGATTGTGTTCTTTTTCTTATGATATTATATTTAGAAAAATAAAAAAAAAATTAGGGTGTATGAAAGGCTTAGGCCACTTTTAGCCAAAAGTGTCTAATCTTGAAACTGATTGGAACCCTAATAATTTAGCCCAATTTATGCCACTGCCATTAAGCACCAGTGATAAGTTTTAGGGTTTTGCTGTGCCCCAAATTTGGATTCTGTATAACCATACTAGCTTGATGATTGTTTTGTAAAATAGAAATTTTTTTTTAAGACTTAGGTAAGTTAGATTTAAGTACAGGTCTAAGAAGATGAAGGTGAGAGTTCAGTTGTTAGCGTTTCTACTTGGTGTGATTTGAACAGGTTAATCTCTTATTCAGAGTGATATTTAAGTATTTAGTTGATTTGTGAAGTGGAATCGTTATTGCATTTTAGTGACGGGGATTCAATTTTGTTTAGGGAAAAGTTCACTTTTTTTGTCAATGATTTTGATTTTCTAGTTTTCGGGGCCAGGATTCTATTTTATTAAGATTTATTTATAAATTTTGAGTTGTGATATCAGAAGTTATATTTTACATAAGTATTGCTGTGTTATTAGCAAATGAAAAGAAAAGAGTGTATGGTTGGTTAAGGATAAATCAGTGGTGAATATATTTTAGAGCAGCGGTTCCCAACCTTTTTAGCAGGCGGTGCCCTATTGTTTTTARAAATTTTGTTAGGTCCCCTTCTGTGAATATCACGAGAAACGTGATAAAAATAAACACTAGTTTTCATTCATAACTGATTTAAATAATTTTATTGTCAAAATTAAAAAAAAAAATCTGTTTTAATAGTGAAAAACTAATAATTAATGAGATATTTGAGGCAGCTTATTTTTGGAAAGTTTGGCAATGTTTTTATCTGTTTTTATCTATTATTGAATTATTCRACACATATTAGAAATACTATATTTGATATTGAATATACAGATAGTATTCTTAGTAGTTTTGTACGTAAAATAATTTTTTGTCTTTTCAACTACAATAAATTTTTAATATATAATTTAATAATTTTATTCATTCTCGGATGAGCTGTGGCACCCCTTAAATGAGCTCGCGGTGCACAGGTTGGGAACCGCTGTTTTAGAGTATAGCAGAGGGTATGGTTTTATAAATATTTTTATTCTTATTGAGCTATTTATAGGCTTTTAAAATTTATTAGTTTTTTTTCTATAAATATCAATAAAAAATGTTTTGCCTACCTAATAATCAGCTTAAAATTGTAATAAAAAGTTTGTAATAAGTTATTTAAATAGCAGTTTAAAAATATTAAGTATAGGTACCTGTATACCTACGCAAACTTGGTGTTTTTCATTACTGTATAAAATTGAATTTTGATAAAAAATTTATAAATTACCCAATTTTTTTTTTTAAAGAAGGATTGAAAATTTAAAACAATGTTTCTCATAAGTAGTTGTTATTKTAACCAAAAACTCTAAAAAATGAGGGATTTAGTACCAATTTTTAAAATTTTCTGCAGTCCTATAAAATTTTAAAATTATATTTTATATTTTAGTTATCACCTTAATAATAATACTTTTCCACTAATTTACTGCTGGATACTCTGTATTGTGTCAAAAATAAAGGTCATTTGAATAATTCACTGACCTAGAAGAACTGATGGATTTTGATGAAAATATTTTTATGCAAAAAGAAAAAGCATTTCTATGGATTACATTGAGCTCTGATTTTTTTATTTTATTTCAAATAATGGTGTTATATAATTTGTAAAAATAAACTTAAAATTGTATTATTTTTGAAGACTTATATTAAGTTTGAGATAAAAATATTGATAACACAGTTCAGTGTGATCTGTAGAATATTACTCTCCATAGTTAAAACATAGGCGCAATTAGGGGGTGCTTGGGGGTGCTTCAACACCCCCAGCCTTTAATTTAGCACCTCCAGATCAAAAACACCAAAAATGGAAAAATCATATGAAAAAGTTTTTTTWGTTTTACGTAAGGTTGTTTAAATATTGAAAGAGATGTTGTTAATAAAATTACTTCTTCAAAAATATTGGAAATATATTCCAATTCCACCAATAAAAGAAAAATAGTATTAGTATTTAGTATAAAATAGTATATTACATATTATATATAATATTGTATATTATAATATGTAAACATAGTATTATTACCTAATCTTTGAGATAGATTGTGCTTCATGTAAGTGACTGCTAAAAATGTAAATTGTATAATTATTTTGACATCACTGATTAAAAAAAAATATTATTTATCTGTTTATACTAGGTCATTATTTGAATCACCTAAATAATAATATAGTTAATATACCTAATGTATTTATGAGGTAAATATTAGTGTGCTTATGTTTTTATAATGCATTTAAGATTGGTAGTAGTTATTATAAAATTGAAGTATGGTACTTGGGGTGTAAGGGCGTAGCCCGYACGGTTTTGTTTCACCTGCATAATTAGAACCCCCAATGTTTGGCCTCTAGTTGTGCCTAATGAGTTAAAACCGGATCATTACTCCCATAAAATATATTTTTGTAGACGAAATTGACACCTGATGCTTTACCATAATTTTTTACTACAGACATTTAAAGTTAAAATTTGGATGAAATTTAATATTTAAACAAAGAATAACAATTTTAGTATTATTTCATTGAAATTCAAAAACATTATTCATGGGGACTTTTATATTTATAAATTTTASTATATCATGCAGTGACTAATTTAAAATATTAAGCTATTACTTATTTGAAACCATCTTACCTATTCCCACTGTTTTACAAAAAGTAGTATTTACTTAAAAATTATTAACAATAATATAATACAATAGAAATATAGAMTATTATAATAATAACAAATTAAGTATTAATTAATGGAATAAATGCAATGATACAGAAAAAATTAAATGGACCTACTAATATTAAAATGATCTATTCTAATTGCAATAACATCATGTTTTAATTACCAATTTTGCTGGGAAAAAAATTATATGACCTAATTTTTCAGTTTTGGTCTAGCTCTCTAGTAACTTTAAGTCACTCATCTGTAGTATACAAGGTGTAACAGATAGAACTGATTTTTGGAATAACTTTTGTTCAAATTAATATTTTCTATTTACTTATTTATTTATTTTTTTGTTACCCTAGTACCCTAGCGCTACATGTATGACACATTTTTAGTACTGAAAATAAAAAAATTAAAATTTTATAAAAAAATGTTTGGATAAATTCAAAACAGCCTATTTATGAATCTGATTACAAGAAAAATTTTTATGGTAAATAGATTTATTTAAGTCAAGTAGTTTATTTTTTAGAATTTTTTTAAAATTCAATACTTTTTTGGTTAAATTAATTTGGAACGTAATAAATATTTAAAAAATATGATTTTTGAGAATTTTCTGACAAGAGTATATTTCTTAAATTATTTACTTATCATATAATATTAACATTTTTTGTCATACATTGAATTAGCATATTTTTTTTTTTTTTGATCAGGTTTTCCTGTTACATCCTGTATAGCATAAAAAATACTAAACAAAAGTTAAACATCTAAATCTTATTTATCACCACATGTAATTTAAATTATTATTGTTAGATTTATTCATAATATTATTCATAATATCCTATCCAAATTATTCATATTATGTAAATAATATTTAAAATTTTGAGAAAGACTCCTTTTTAATATTACCTATGGTTTATCCATTATCAATAGCTGCTGTTATGTATGTAGGAAATCTATTTTAGTTAATATTTTGAACTTATTATAAGTACATATTATATTATACTAACAACATATTACTGTGGAAAATAATCATAGAAATTCAAAATATCATTCCGATAGGTTGTTGATTGTATCAATGTCAGTAGCAGAAAATAAATACATATTACGAGATAAACATTATTTTTCTGTTCTAGGAAGATCAAAAAATTGCACTAAGAAAGGGATTGTCGTTCAGAACCGTAAGTCACGTGATATTTCGTCAGTTAAAGCTGCTAATACAGTGGTTAATGGTCAAAATCGTCAGTCTTGTGCTGTTACACCAAGAGTAGTCACTCATGCAGATTTTGATCGTATAAATAGCATTTTAGAAAATCAAATTGCTGAGCTTAATGGACTAGAAGGTGTTCTCACAGAGTTAAATAAAGAAAAGTTATCACTTGGGAAATTATTGGAACTTCTTGTAAGGAACCAAATTTCATTGGGTAACTAAAAATATGTTCTACAGCCTACAGTTAAAGCACATTAAATAATCYATATTTATATTCTTTAATTTTATTTTAATCTTATTATTTTTTTTTTTGTGATCAATATTGTTCAATCCAAGCTATTTATTTAAGTTTAAATATAATTTTGAAGAAAAAATTTAAAATGTTAAGTGATTTTTTAAAATTTAATGTAAGATCAATTAATCTTTTACATTGGACATCCATATGTTTTGTATAAGCGCTGTTTTTTTTTTTTGGTGGGGGGGAGCATAAGTGGACAAATGCTTTGGGACTAGAAAATAAATTAGTTCTATTAGTTTTAAAAACATAATATTATAAAAAGAATTAAATATTAAAACAACATTGTTTTTTTTTTTTTAATAATTTTACCAGTAAAATTTTATGGTAATTTTTCCAATATTTAATATGAAAACAAACTCTTAAATGTGTAAATTTGGTACTGTTTATCTTGTGATTTATTAAATAAATGCATTTAACTATCAATTATTTTATTTTAATGATTCGTATATTTAAAAAAAACCCACAAATTGTATGGATTGTTTAAAAGTTTCTACCCTTTATTCAATCATCGATAAATTGATAAATTTGTGTTTAGATTTTAAAGGAAGCATAAATATATACAATTTACTATCCCAGAGAACTATCATTTTCAAGCTCAGGTGAATGTTGAATGTTCAACAATGAAAAATATTAAATAATATTATTTTGATGTATAATAGGTGCACATTGCACATGCTGTAGAACATGCTAAAATATGGCAACAGTATAACAAAGATAGCTGTGTATTGTGTACAACATAATGAATAATAATTAACATTTCCAAAATAAAAACGAAATATACATATAACGCAATGTACGTTATATACTTTAAAAACAACCTAAATATAAAAATAAATTCGCCGCCTTATGTAAAAATTAATTTTGATATTTATATAGGTAATATATAGGTAGATACAATAATCATTTAATGAATATCATATCATATTTAAATATTGTAGAAGTTCAAAAATTATAAAAATCAAGCATCAATAAGAATCATTAAATAAAAACTCGATCTATGAACAAAGTTTAAGATGAGGACGTCGCATCTACGGTGTTGTTTTCGTTTTATGCTCGTATGACATATCAAATTTTCGTTCTCTAGTTTCAGTAGTGATTAGTGACCTGTTAGTTTTGATAGTTTTAATATTAAAGTGAATTGACATATAATACAATTTAAATGTGAGATCATTATTGATCATTATCACGTATGCGTTTATTAATATTATTTTTAAATAAATCATGACATTTTTGAAAATGTACATTTTAAAATGATCATAATACTTATTTAAAAAAAAATAATAGTATCAATAAAGATCTGCGTAGGCACCTGCATAATAATATAACCTTTAAATTGTTTAATAGGCTAATTTACTCTTGTATTGAAACTAAAACTGCATGCTATATTGAGACTAGTAAACGAAAATTTTCCGTATTATACATGCGTATTACAGAGAGCTGCAGGTGCGACGTCCTTGTAACATAAATATTGAATACAATTTAACTTCCTTTTAAATATTTGTGGCTGTCATATAGTATGTGGTCTACCGGTAATTTACGAATATAGTATGCAGTCTACCGCAAATAAATACCTATATCATACCTGGTAAAAAATTTGTTTGTCGAAAAAAGCACTATCTTTCCTATAATAGTACACACAATTATGATAAAATAAGCTAAATGAATATATAAGWAGAATTTTCTCACCTTAAGCTTTGTGTTGTTTGACATCCCTTTCACTTGCAACGTAAAATTCTCCTTTCCTCACCTCTCCTTACGTAGGTAGCCAGGTAGGTATAAATTCATACCACTTCCACGCTTAGACATTGGGCATTTTCATTATTTGCCGCGACATTTTTGCCAATTAAAAAACTCGTGGTTGATTCTTCACTAGTAATAATTAAATAAAAATCTTTTGCCAACATATTGAGTGTTTAACATATAAATTGTGGTGTCGCGCAATAAATGACGTACTGAGCTATTGAGCACATACTTTTACAAAATTTCGAAGTATTGTTATCTGTGTATAAGACAATAAAGATAAAATGTTGACCGAAGAAAAAGATTAGAGTGTATCTATAAAAGATAAACTTTATAATATAAAGACTATATAAAAACCGGCCGGTGACCGCATCCTATAACGCAGGGGCGTAATTAAGGGGGGATGAGGGGGATATATCCCCCCCAGAGCCTATATAATGTGTATATTTATATATTAATTTGAAGCTTATGGAATTATATGTTTTATCGTGCTGACATCACGACGAAATGCATTAAATATAATTATTATCAAGAAATCTATAAATTATTATTTAATTTAAAAGTAAATTTTAATTCTAATATTATATT